CCCAGAGCCATAGTTTGAACCATAGTTTGATCCAGAAACAGTTCTTTTGATTTCTTAAAGAACAAGACCAAGACAATTCATCTTTAAAACATGAAGCAAGATGTTTAAACCTGGTTCTTGTATGTTTCTGTTTTTAAGTTTTGACCATTTTACACATAAAATAGCTTATTAATATATGAAAACATAACATGATAAAAAAAACATGTATATGTGTATATATATGTGTGTGTGTGTGTGTAAGTCTAAATTTAAGATGTTTTCCTGTTCACTTGGAGTGGCTTGTTTTTAAAAAAGTATCACTGGTTGAGTTTACATCAAATCTGTCTTGGAGATATATTTTGTAATTTGTACAAAATTAAAACTATGATGATTATTGTGTTCATAGATTTCAGGAGTGGTGCAGTACTCTGCCGTGTGCAGTGCTGTGAGCAGACTTTACTCTCAGATATCTGTGAGAATCGCCCCATGACTTCATCAGACTCATTTCCTCGGGTTGGCACAGGCCTGAGGTTGGACATGGGCCTCTGCTGTCAGAGCCTCCCTCCCTCTAGATTAGGGTGAGGTGTAGGTCCCCCGCGGGCCCCCACCGTGAGTCTGTCCCCCGGGGGCCACACAAAGGGGCGTTTGTCCCCACAGCGACACATCATGGGCCTAATGAAAACTCAGGGTGTCGTGGCGAGCGCGCTAAAGGCTAATGGGGAATCATCCAATCTGTCAAACCAATCCTGAAAGATAATAACTACATCACTGTGACAGATGACAAGATATAAAAGAAGACATTTGTGAACATAATTAACAGTATAGATAAGGATAAGGCTTTAAGTTGGCTTTACTAATATTTATACTTGTTTCAGGCTCTTTAAATTATAACTATATTTTGTGTTTCCTCACGTCTTATTAGCTTCTCTGCAGAGACTCACAGTTTGTTTACGTCGCTCTAGGATGGAGTGAGAGTAATTCACCACAACCTCTGTCATATCATCACCATCATGTATCACCAGTGAAATGACAGAGCCCATACAGCACTACAGCATTAAGACTTATATATCTGGAAATCAAGATAATGCACTATATTGTTCTAGACCAGCGTCAAAATACTTAGCATTGTCTTAAAAACAACGTGTTTCACCTTGACCATTTTCAGACTTTGTTGGGACTATTTCAATTCAGATGGGACTTAGAGACATGTGTGAATCTGTGGTCCAAAGACAAAAATAGTGCAAAAGAGAAAGAGATCCGCATTGCAGTTCTTTAAAACTCCCCAGTTTTTATTTCAATGACACCACAATGTGACTTTTCGGATCAGGCCCTTCTTCAGTGTCTGTTTTTTTAAGTGTGGCCAAACAAACAAAAAAGATCTGTAGTCCAATGCAGTAGCAAAAAAAAACAAAACAAGAAGAAATAGGCCTAGGCATTCTGGTCATGAAGCCTTTCTTCAAACATGTCTGAAGAAGGTCCTAACCCGAAACATCACATTGTGGTGTCACTGAAATAAAGATGTGGGAGATGGAAAGAACTGCAGTGCGGATCTTTTTCTTCTTTCACACTATTTCAGTTCAGATAATGATAATGATACCAAATTATATCACCAGGCTTATTTCTTGTTGAAGTTTTAGGGTTGTTTTTTTCCTTATTGTTTGCTACGGCATTGGACTACAGATCTTAAAACTTAAAACGTTTACCTTTTAAAAGCCTGTCTGACAGAAAACTTGGATTAATTCATGTCAATATAGGTTTACTCAATCAATCAAAAAATAACATTGAGTAAGATAATGAGGAAACACCATTATCACCTGGTTAAAAGCTCCTAAAAGTCCATCTGACATACTGTATTTTTCGAACTATAAGGTGCACTTAAAATCCTTTATTTTTCTCAAAAATTGGCAATGCGCCTTATGTATTCATTCTGGTTGTGTTTACTGATCTCGAACCGATTTTATGTGGTACAAGGCGCTCAAAAATCTATCAAAATGTTTTAGTACGTAAACTACAACGCCGCACTGCTTGATGGATTGTCGGAGCATTACGGCGACCATAGTCAGGAGCCTCGCGGAGTTGTGTCCTTTAGTCCGACAGAAGGTGAACCGCATCAGGGCACAAGGAGTGAGCTGTTTTTTTCAGCACTTATAGTTTATGCAAATGAGCCATGTGGTTTTAAATTTCGTTTCTGTAAAATGTAAACAAATGTGCACAAAGCTGCATTAAACACATTATTACCATATTTTCTGCACTATAGGGCGCTCTGGATTACAAAGCGCACTGTCATTTAATGGTCTATATTCAAACTTTTTTCACAAATAAACCGCACCGGACTAAAAGGCGCATTAAACGAAACACAACAGTTCGATAAGTCAGTCAAACCTTATTTAACATGTTCACAATATCTCAACTTTGTTCAACTGTAACGTGTAAAAAAAACAAACAAACAAACTGTCTGAGACGCTAAATTGTTCACATATTCACAATAGCTCAATTGTTCAGTTATAACTAAAAATAACACATTACACTCACTTTTTCTGTTCATTCCTCCATTCCGTTCCTCGTCCACATGGAATAATAAATGTGGCTGCAAGTATTTTTCACTGCACAGTCACTCTCTGCTACGTGCGTGTTTACGTGCGCTGCAAGTGGTGCGGCTTTGTAATTTACTAAACTAGTGTACTAAAACACCCCAATAAATTCATATATAAGGCGCTCTAGGGATTATAAGTTGTTTTTTGATTAAATTAAAGGCTTTAAGTGTGCCGTACAGTGTGGAAAATACGGTACTCAATGTACATTCAAGTCAGCCTTGTAGAAAATAAAAATTCAAAGTTAAATGATCCACCCACATTCACATTCATAATCCACTTTCCCCAAAGCAGAAGCAACACCGGGCGAATTACACCAGGATCTGCCGATGGATCATGGACACCTGGGCTAAAGGATCAGCCTCAAGTGTCGTCTGTTTGTTTCGTTTAATGCTCCTTATAATCCGGTGCACCTTATAGTCTGAAAAATACGGTAATATGCCCGTTTCTTAATGCAGTCTGATATTTCTTAAGGTTGATAAACACACAGTCCTGTTCTTAAGAGGAGGACGACTCAAGTGTCTCCAGCTTGAGTCCACATTTTTAGACTTGTGGCACCACCAGTCCGTTTGGTCCCATGCCAGGGGCCAACATGGCTGCTCATGTCCCTCACACAGGGGGACAAAGGGCCCCGGCTGAGCGGCCCGGCCCCTGCACCAGCCCTGGATTCACACTCACACTGGTGCAAATGAAGCGTGTAATCAGATTATGGCCCGGAGCTCCAGACCGCAGCCACCCTGACAGAACGACAGAAGAGAGGACGGCCCAGCGGAGGGCGAGAGGACGGGGCTGAGGGTCTGATTAAATATCTGTGGATCACATCAGCACTGCCCCACACACACAATCACGTTTAAGAGGAGGGACAGAACTGGAAAAAAACACTACGTCGCTCAATTAAAATGACTTAAACTGAGAATATTTAACTTTATTTGAGTAGGTTCAAATTGACAAGTGAAATGATCTAACAGTGGAATAAGACTCTTTTTCTTAATTCAAGCAACGTTCAATTTGATTTTGATTCTTATTTTAAGTGCAAAAAGTTGTTCTTATTTTAAGTGTAGTAAGATGCATTTTTATATTTTAAGTACAAAAAGTCTTATTAAATTGGCAGATAATTTTACTTGTCAAGTGAAATTTACTCAAATCGTGATAAAATTTTCTTAATTCAAGTCATCTTAACTTGGCTAGATTTAGTTTTTTGCAGTGAGAGGGATCATCATTTGACATATTTATCTTTTTTTTCCTATTCTATTTCTACTGTATGTGAAATTTTGATTTTAAAGCTGCATTGTGTAACTTTTCTCATGGGGCGGGTCCATCAAATGGTTTTCTTCATGGAGATGTTATTGCTTTGTCTGGAATGTTTCACAGTATGACATTAAATCTTTTTATCTCCTTGGAGAAGAGCAAGTTACAGGTCAGATCATTGGAGAGGCAATCCCGCTCACAGTCAGAATCTCCATTAGTTTTTTTGTTTTTGTTTTATTTTTCTCAGGTATTTTTGAACTATAAAACCACCTATAATTGAATACGTTTAAGGTAGAGCTGTTTAGTGGCTAGCACTGATGCCTCACAGCAAGAAGGTTCCAGGTTCGATCCCCAGGTCGCCCGGGCCTTTCTGTGTGGAGTTTGCATGTTCCTCTCTGAGTCTGGATGGGTTTCCTCCAGGCGCTCCGGTTTCCCCCATCAACCCAAAACATACTTTGTCTCCAGGAAGAATAATTGATAACTAATAGAGGTCAATTAAATCATATTAAATACAATCAATTAAGGCCCCGGGGAAGACCCAGGACACGCTGGAGGGACTATGTCTCTGGGCTGGCCTGGAAACGCCTTAGGGTCCACACGGAAGGAGCTGGAGGAAGTGTCTGGGGTGAGGGAAGTCTGGGAGTCTCGGCTTAGACTGCTGCCCCCGTGACATGGTCCCAGATAAGCGGAAGAAAATGGATGGATGGACAATCAATCAATTAAAATACTGTCCCATTTTAACTGTATGTTTTAATAGTGTTTAACTTGTTTATGCTGATGTAAGATGACCTCGAATGTCCAGAAAGGCCACTAATAAATAAAATGTATTACTATTACTAATGTCATACTGTGGAACATTCCAAGCAGGTGATGAAACCCCAACCAAAAAGTTACATATCATAGTGCATAAACGATATAAAATGGCCCAACTGTAACTAAAATAAACTAACAATGATAGAGTAAACATTATCCAAAAGAAAGTCTACTCCAATGGTAAATCAAACTTTTTAGAAAACACATGAAGGAACACTTTTTCTGACTTTTTCTTTATTAATACAGTATCCAGTTTCAAAAGAGCGCTAGTGTTTATGTTTCCAAAGGGTGTGGTATTTTTGAAATGTAAAATTAATGTAGAGAAAATAGAGAAAGAGACTGGAGAATAAGTAAAAGAGCTGAAGTTACCTGAAGGATCCTCGTAGCTGTTGTAACTGCTCGCCGTTGGGGATGCAATTGGGATTTCTGTAAAAAAAAAAAAAAAGCAATTTTTAGAGTGTGCTTTTTATTTTTACTTTTACTTCACTAAATCAGTGCAGCTGTGTGTACTTTTTACTCCGAGCAACGTATACAAGGCAAAAAAGGTGATGCTCCAAACCATGAATACTGTATTTTTCGGACTATAATTTGCACTTTTTTTCATGGTTTGGGTGTTTCCTGTGACTTATACTCCGGTGCGACTTATATAATAAAATTTTCACACTAAGCCACGAGAGGCTCTAGTCTTGTGTGTCAGTATCTGCTGCTCCTGTACCACTGTCACTTGACTCTACTGTGCATGTCTCCTGTAGAAAGAGCCTCTGTCCTGCTGCAAGTAGTGAAATATGTAGTTGAAAATAGTTATCGAGCAGCAGAAAGAAAGTTTGGAGTGAACGAGAAACTTGTGACACCAGGCGGGCGCGCCATGCAACTTTCCTGGAAGTCACTGGATGGATGGACAAAGCCTGAACTTCAGTGACACCGAAACCATCCTGTCGGGATTCAGAAATGCAAGAATAATTCTAACTGGAACTGACGCTGAGTCTGACGACAGCGACGCAGAAGAGGAAGCGGCGCTCTGTTTACCTCTGGAGGTCGTGGAGTTGCTCAGAAGTGACACCGAGGATGAAGAAGTGAATGGATTTAGTGATTTGGAGTGAGACGGAGAGTTTGGTAAACTTGTTCTGTTGTTTATGTTATAGTTTAATCTGAAGAACTGTTCATATGTGACGTTAACAGTCTGTTGTTCTCTGTTCTATTGTTTTTACTAGAACTTGACTTTCGAGGTGAAATGTCAGTTCCTGGTCTCTGATTCTTTAAAATAAATTTCACCCAAAAAGTGCGACTTATATATGTTTTTTTTTTCTTCTTCATTGCTCATTTTTTGGCTGGTGCGACTTATACTACGGAGTGATTTAGGCCACAAAAATACGGTAGGTTGTCAGAACGGCATCATAAAAGGTATCGGAATGAGGGCATGTCGGAATGGAGGGTTGTCGGAATGTCAGAATGTTGGGGTGGCAGTCTGTCGGAGTAAGAGTTGTACCCCACACTGAGCACGTTCGCTGTGTGTGACGTCGTCGTTTCCTTCAAATGCACATGCGGGACACTTTTGGGGCGTTTAAAGTTCACACTGGAGATCACGTACAAGTCATTTTTAATTGGAAATGTGAACGACCTCGCAAGAAAATCAGATTTCACAAAAAAATCCGAACTGAGCATTAAACCCTGCAGTCTGACCGTATCCTTGTTCCATGTCTAATTAAGCTTTATCATTCCAGTTCAGTTGTTTGTACATGGCCCTGACGTCAGCGCTGGGGCTTGTTGATAGGAGCGGTAAACAGTGGCTTTGAGTTCGCGCAGATTTATAGCGACGCGGCCGTGTTCTGACGCCGCGCCGGGAGAGGAGGAGGCGGTTTGTTTACACGTCCGCGCTCGTCCATCTCCGCCGAATGGGACAGAGGTGTGAACGGGAAAGCAGATTAAAGGGACCCCGGGAATTTATGTCTGTCGCGGGAAACGGCGTCCACGTGGAGGGCAGAATGTGTTATCAGAAAATGGGCTTTCAGTGAATAACAAAGTATAGATTAGGACAGTGGTTGTCAAAGCACAAAGCAGGGGTCTCAAAGCACCCAGCGTACTTAAAAAAACAATAAAATACAAAAAAACATACAAAAAAATTGACTCTTGTGAGCTTTAAGTCATTTATAATGTTGTTACCTCCTCAAAAACAGACATGGAGTTGTGTTTTGTTTCATTCACACATGTTTGAGTACTTTTTCTCTGTCTACATCTCCAAAACTCAAATTGCTTTTCCACCTTGTGATTGTAGCGAAGGTGAACGGCGTTTAAAAACACAGTGGAGCACGAGATCACGACGTGGAACCGTGTTTTTTTTTTTTTTGTTTGAGAGAAGAACTGAGTTAAACATGTGTGAATGAAACAAAACTCTAAAATACTGTAATATAGATCCTTTAAATGTATTTTACAACATTTAACCCAATTTTTTCTTCATAAGCAGATTTTTTTTTTTTTTTTTGATACAAACGAAGGATGTGGAGATTAGGGATCTCAGGGAAGGATATTTGGGTTTGCTTTGTTTGAGTTGGTTTGTTAAAGGTTGTATAGAGGATTTTTTTAAGGGAAGAGAAATACAGCGACAGTCCTTGTGCGCGTTCAGAATTACTGTTGAAGTTTCCTGTCTAGAAGTAATTTATCGACCGACGCGTCAGTTTTTAGACCCTTCGTCTGTTTCAGTCGCACCATCGGTGGAAGGAATCTCCAAGAATCACCTCAGTTTAGCTTCGCTCCTTTTCCCCTTCTCTTCTTCTTCTTTCGGCGACCTCAAAAACTGACTTTCTTTTGCGGCGAACTGGTCGTGGATTCTCGTCCGCCATCGCGGCAAACTTTGTGCGAAATGTGAGGAAACTACAGTTTGAAAATGCCTCTAAGAACTGCTGCATAAACCACATAATCTCCGCGCTCCGACGACTCAGTTACACTAGGGAGTTTGATTGACAACCTAACAGCCAATAGAAAATGAGGCAGCCTCGTTTTCTATTGGCTGATGTTTATCTGTCCTCACTACGTCCACAGTTGATAGATTTTCATTCTTTTTTTTTTTTTGGTCATTATAATTACAAAGCTGCTGTGTCTCTGTAATGGTATTTTAAACTTTCATTGACAATTTGAAACAAAAAAAAAATCCTCCATACAACCTTTAATGTTCTATAGGGGTTGCCTTGCTTTCAAGCTTATAAAAATTATAAAAAAGACTACACTCCGCCAGAACAGGCTCTCCCAGAAGCTGCTAACCAACTTCTACTGGTGCATCATCGAAAGCGTTCTGACGTACTGCTGCACATCATGGTACGGAGCACAGCTGCTGAAAAGAAGGACCTGTAGCGAGCGGTGAGAACAGCTGAAAAGGTGGTGGGCTTCACACTCCAGAACCTGGCCACCATCTACTCTTCACGTCTCCACACACGGGCCTCTAACATTCTGCAGGACCCCACACACCCCGTCCATACTCTCCCCTCAGGAACGCATCAAATTCCCCTCACACGCACAAACAGGCTGCGCAACAGCTTCTACCCACGAGCAGTGGACGTGCTCCAGGGGCACAGGCACAGATAAAAGGCATGAAGGGACTCAGTGTGAATCATCTATTTTTTTATTTATTAAATGTTTTTTTTATTGGTTTGGATGTGAGGATGTTTCTGTATTTGTTCATTTTTACTGCTACAGATTTGCTCTGTCGAAGTTTTGTTGTTTTTCATACAATGACAATAAATAAATCTAAATCTAATTTGCTACACATGCTGCACACTTGATAGAAATGAAATGACATTAAAATACAGATTATTTTAGTTTTGCATATTTTTATGTGTTCTTACTGATACTTGAGGCTCTGTTGGTAGTGTTACTGTATAGAGTAAGTGTGTGTGTGTGTGTGTGTGTGTAGTCTGCATATATAGTGTGCAAAAATATCGAAAATCATTAACGTGATAATAAAGTATCAATATCATGGGCTGCTGTATTGATATATATCACAAAGAGTATTTTTTGGTATATTTTACAAAATTATTTTGATACAGCTACAGTTGTCGCTTATTCCGAGGAAAGAAACTTGTTTATGCGACACATTTGACATTTTCACTGTTTTGAGGATTAAAATGTTTGTGTTTCATATTCACTTTGCACAACTCATAGTTCAACAAAAACTTTTAGTATCACAGTCATGATTTAGCTTTTATTTTTTATTGAACCATATCGAATTGATTTGAAATATATCGTATTGAATCGAAAGCTCACTCTATCGAGATATGTATCGTATTGTGGCCTATGTATCGAGGTATGTATCGTATCAGCAACTTCTGAATGATAGGCAGCACTAACAGTGTATGTGTGTGTGTATGAAGATGTATGTTCTTACTGATACAGGGGGCGATGGGCGAGCGGCTCTGCTGGTAGCCTTTAGCGCAGCGGTTACAGGTGATGCCCGTGACCCCGTCCTTACACGGGCACTGGCCGGTGGTCTGGTTACACGTCTTACCCGCTGCGCCCACTGGGTGGCAGTCACAAGCTGTGGAGACAAACAAAATATAAGTTATGTTACAGGTTTAAAGTCGGACTAAACACCTACAGAAAAACTAAAACTACACACAATCACATTTCAAACAGAGCTGCAAAACTGGACAGTGCCTGGAGGACTAAAGGGGAGAGCGAGGGGCAGGGTCTGGAGGTATAAGGAACGATGTGATTGGTCTAACAGGTATCCACACTTCAACTCCGCCCCTGCAGTGAGGTGTTGGTGATGGTTTTAATCAGGGCAGTCTTTCATTATGTCATGTAGTACTTATAATAACAGAGGCTTCTGACGGCAGCACAATCTTGGGCTACGTTCAGACTGCAGGGTTTAATGCTCAATTTGGATTTTTTTGTGAAATCAGATTTTTTTTTTGCGAGGTCGTTCACATTTCCAATTAAATGTGACTTGTATGTGATCTCCAGTGTGAACTTTAAACGCCCCAAAAGTGTCCCGCATGCGCACTGAAGGAAGTCGCTACACATGGATGCCAGAATTGTGCACCTCAATCAATCAGTCTTTATTTATAGAGTGCTTTTCATACAAAAAAATGCAACACAAAGCGCTTGTGAGTGAATTAATATTTGGGGGGGATCGCTGTATTCAGGCCAAGTTGAAGGGGTCTTTTCGGAACAGGGCGTTTTTGGAAATGATTGCCAAAGAAATGTCCGAGCACGGCTACAGGTGGTCCTAGCTGTCCCATTTTAAAGTTGCTGTCGTACCGGAGCCAGAACATGTACATCTTATTTGTTTTAAGGAGGAGAAAGAGAAGGACGAGGTTTTTGACCATGGCGTTTTGTGAGGCAGTGGCAGCAACGTCCGTAGAAAGGAACGTGTGGATGTGGAGTCGCAGCAAAGAGTGGAGGGATTGCAATGTGCTTCACTGACTGAAGTGACATGTCAAGAGATCGGATATGTATCTGTTTTAGGAGCACATATCCAAGTGGCCTGGGTCGCATTTCGGATCTGTGGCTACGTTCAGACTGCAGCCTGAAGTGTCCAAAATCAGATTTTTTCGCCCCTATGCTCCTGTATCTGATCTTTTAACGACAGCCTGAACGACACAGATCCGATTTTTTCAAATGTGACCCAGGACACTTGGATATGTGCTCCTGAAACCGATACATATCCGATCTTTTGACATGCGACTTCAGTCTGAACGGCCAGGTCACATTCATCCCACCTACACGTCAGGCTCAGAGTCTCGGCAATGGAGGGAAGGCGAGGTTAGCGAGTTTATTCATATTTGGGGGGATCGCTGCATTCAAGCCAAATTGGAGGAGTCTTAACAGGACTGGGCGGTTTTTGAAATGATGGCCAAAGAAATGTCAGAGCGCGGCTCAGTCGGTCCTGGCTCCAATGTCAATGAAAAAAGAGCCTGTGAGACAAATGCTAAAGACTCAAACAAACAAAATGGCCGTGGACATGTAACCTGTCCATTTTACGAAGAACTGGACCGTATTTTGGGAGACAAGGCCAGCGTTTAGTCGACTTCTGTAAACACTGAGTACACTCGCGACGTCGTCATGTCCTCCAATCCACATGCGGGGCACTTTTAGGGATCACATACAAGTTGCATTTAACTGGAAATATGAACGACCTCGCAAAAAGATCGGATTTCACAAAAATATCCAAATTGAGCATTCAGCCCTGCAGTCTGAATGTAGCGTGTGTCGTTCAGACTGTCATTAAAAGTTCAGGTCCAGGTCACACGGGCAAAAAAATCGGAATTGGGTCCCTTCAGGCTGCTGTCTGAAAGTAACCTTAGATTTAGACATTTTTGACCAAAAATCCACAAATCTACCTAGTTTGCCCTAAAAACTAAAACTGGACTAAACCAGGTCTAAACTAAAACAAAACTGCAAGTGACAGAAAATGTGTGGAATTCTGACATGGAGAATCGACTTGGAAAAAATCCCTTCTCATTTTCTCGAAGCGTTGAGTATTCGTGTTCAAACGGTGCGGTTGTTGGTGCAATTCTTTCAGCGCTCTCCTGTCCCCTTGTCAGTGAAGTGATCCGTGAAGCTGTGGGGGTGCAGGGGGGTTCGTCTCCCTGACAGACAACCCAAACAACCGGAGCGCAGACAGGGTAGGGGGGTGGGGTTGACTCTGTACAGGTGGGACTGCTTCAGGTGCGCACAAGTGAGTGGGAAAACATCCTTCTTCAACTGTCTTTTAAAGCTGCACTGCGTAACTTTTCTCCTAGAACAGGGGTGTCAAACTCATTTTGGTCCGGGGGCCGTATCCAACCTACTTTGATCCCAAAGGGGCCGGATCAGAAAACTCATGTCATATAAACCCCAAAAATAACAATAAGTTCAAATATTTGTGCAGAGAAACACAAATCTGTTACAGAAATCTGTTTTAATTGATGAACTCTTTCTTATTATAATACTATGAACAACCTGAAACTTTAAGAAAAATTCAATTTCAACACGATGTTTTAACATTAACTTGTCTGCAAACAGGAATAAGTAAATTTTTCTTGGAAAATCCTGCACTCTGTGTCCATTTTTCTCATTTTGGACATTTTGCTGATGAGGGTGTCACGGTCAACAGTCAAAACGATCGTCCTTTAAGAGCGTTTGGAAAGAGACAAGTCTTCATTTGTGCTGCTCTGGTGGGAGGGGCCACGTACAGAGACACTGGAGATGCTGCTATGCTAAGCACCGCAGAAAATTACCAATATTTTAATAGAAAATATAATTAAAATATTTTAGTAGAAAATCACCCAAGGGCCACATTAAAGGTCTTGGAGGGCCGGATCTGGCCCCCGGGCCTTATGTTTGACACCTGTGTCCTAGAAGTTCCATCACCTGCTTGACTCCATGTTTTTATCCTGGAGTTTTGCACAGTATGGCATTTAATTTAACTATCTCCATGGAAACAAGCAGGTCACATCATCAAGTTCCAGCTCAGATCTGTGGAGAAGTGACCACTCACAGTAATAATGCGTGTTTTTGTGGTAGGTTTGAGAAATAAAAACACATGTAATTGAATAAATACAAGATATGTTTGTTTAATGCCTTTAATAAAGCAATAACATCGCAGTGGATTAGAAGTGTAACGATATCCAAGTCTCATGATTCGATATCGTCACGGTATGAACCTCACGGTACGATATTTATTGCGATATCGTGGGAAAGCTCACGATATGGTGGAGAGGCTCACGATTAGGGATGTAACAATATCCAAATCTCTCGATACAATATTTTCACGATATTTATCTCACAGTACGATATTTATAGCAATATTTTGTGGAGGATAAACAAAACTGTTAATATTCCACTTTTTCTTCTTAAAATGCCTTGACAAGACTTAAAAGTGCTTAGAACTGTTATTTCTTCATGTAGTTTACACTGAAATGGAGCAAAGGATCATGGTGTATGTAGTTCCCTCTGTCTTTTTTATTGATGCCCCATAACTCTTAATTTAAGCAAAGAGACTTGTAATTCAATATATTGTGATGGGAACTTTGATGATACGATATCACGATATTTTGGTTATTGTGACAAGCAGATACAATATCATCTTTTTAGAGTTTTTATCCATGTTATAGTTGTTTTCTCTTCTCATCGACGCTCTGAAGTTGTATTTAGTTTGATTCGTGCTTGTTTGAGTTGTCTTTATACTCAGACGTCATTGCTCAGAACAAACCCCACCGCTTCGTACTTCCTTCAGTCTCCAGTTTTATTTTCTTTATCAATAAAACATGTACGATTTGGCATCGTTGTATAATCAGCTTGGTACAAATGATAAAAAATACCCACTTCTGGCTAGTGTGATCTGCAGCGATCCATCAGAGGTGCCGACAGCTGCTGCACGTCTCTTTGTTGTGAAGACGTTTACGGCGATAACTTAGAGGTCAGCTGGCTTCTTTTTAGTTGAATATTGCAATTTAAAATGTGCAAATGATAACATAATGATCCATGAGTGTCATACTGTACATTATAGCTATATAGCAGACACAAGCACAATATGTCTTGTTTCAAATATATCAAATCAACTTATTGGAGCTATCTACCAAGTTATAATGCTCCTTAGGTTTTAGGCTACAGGGCTTAATTCTCAATTTGGATTTTTTTGTGAAATCAGATTTTTTTGCGAGGTCGTTCACATTTCTAATTAAATGTGACTTGTATGTGCATTGGAGGACACGACGATGTCACACACAGCGAGCGTGCTCAGTGTTTACGGAAGAAGCCTAAATGTGGACGCGAGCACTGAGCATTTGGAGATTTTAATATCGCTGTCGTACCAGAGCCAGACCATGTAAAACTTATTTGTTTTAAGGAGGAGATTAAGAAGGAGAAAGATGAGGTTTTAGGCCGTGGTGTTTGTGGGGCAGTGGCAGCAACGTCCGTAGAAAGGACCGTGTGGGTGCAGAGTCACAGCCGCAGAGTTCATACACAATTTTCGTATGACAAGAAGAATGTTTGTGTACATAGTCCAATGAGATTCATTTGGTCTTCAGATATTTTATGTTATTAGGTTCTTTTTTCAGACCTAGAGTTTTGTTTCATACCTGACAGTTTCGATTGCTCACTAGCGTCTCCCTCAGAGTGGTCACGTTATGTTGCTGTGACGAGTCTGGTCAGCTGATTTAAACAGGTTTTGGCGCTGTCTTCCTACTGGTGGTGGCAGGATGACAGCACCATCTGCAGTCCGACTTCCTCGGGACAGTATCCCAGGTGTGTGAGAGTAAAAAAGCCCCCCTGTCCCAGTTTATAGTCCTGTAGGCACGTTTCCGTATTTCAGACACGTCACAGCAACATCACGTGACTCTGAGGAAGTCGAAACTGTCAGGTATGAAACAAAACTCTAGGTCTGAAAAAAGAACCGAATAACATAAAACATTTGTGTACATTTGTGAGCACCTTCTTGTACCACTCTTGCGGGAGGAAACGCATCTTTGGCGGCCTATTTCAGTGAGCAAACATGTTGGCGTTGGACTGTATTGGTGCTCAACAGGTGTTTGTTACCACACAATAGCCAGA